TACACAGGTTACTGCAGGCTGTTCTGATGTTAGCCAGCCTCACGTATGCCGCAGATGTTATTCTTTTGATGTGGGCTTCAGGAGACAGGTTTGGTGTGATATCAACTCCTAGATCTTTCTCTCTGTCCGTTTCATGAAGGACTTCATCTCCTATTCTGTATCCTGTGTCTGGCCTCCTGTTTCCACCGCCTAGTTTCATTACCTTGCATTTACTCGGGTTGAACTTTAGTAGCCATTTATTGAAACATTCATTCAGTCTGTCTAGGTCATCTTGTAGCCTCCTACTATCGTCCTTTGTTTCAATCCTCCTCATAATTTTTGCATCATCAGCAAACAATGAGAGTAACGATTCTATACCCTTTGAGAGATCATTTACATATATCAGAAACAGTATGGTCCAAGGACTGACCCCTGCGGGACTCCACTGGTGACGTCTCGCCAATCTGAGACCTTACCCCTCACAGTGACTCGCTGTCTTCTGTTGCTTAGGTACTCCCTTATCCAATGGAGTACCTTCCCTTTCACTCCAGCTTTTTCACTAGCCTCTTGTGTGGTACTGTGTCAAAGGCTTTCTGGCAATCCAAAAATATGCAGTCTGCCCACCCCTCTCTTTCTTGCCTGATTTTTGTTGCCTGGTCGTAGAATTTAATTAGCCCTGTGAGGGAGGACCTGCCATCCCTGAATCCATGTTGATGCTGTGTTACAAAGATCTTTCGCTCCAGATGTTCCACTAGCTTTCTTCGCACAATCTTCTCCATCATCTTGCATGGTATGCAGGTTAGGGACACTGTAGTTCTGACGGGCAGACTGCATATTTGTGTGTGTGTGTGTGTGTGTACTCACCTAGTTGTACTCACCTAGTTGTGCTTGCGGGGGTTGAGCTCTGGCTCTTTGGTCCCGCCTCTCAACTGTCAATCAACAGGTGTACAGGTTCCTGAGCCTATTGGGCTCTATCATATCTACACTTGAAACTGTGTATGGAGTCAGCCTCCACCACATCACTTCCTAATGCATTCCATTTGTCAACCACTCTGACACGAAAAAAGTTCTTTCTAATATCTCTGTGGCTCATTTGGGCACTCAGTTTCCACCTGTGTCCCCTAGTGCGTGTGCCCCTTGTGTTAAACAGCCTGTCTTTATCAACCCTGTCAATTCCCTTGATGATCTTGAATGTGGTGATCATGTCCCCCCTAACTCTTCTGTCTTCCAACGAAGTGAGGTTTAATTCCCGTAGTCTCTCCTCGTAGCTCATACCTCTCAGCTCGGGTACTAGTCTGGTGGCAAACCTTTGAACCTTTTCCATTTTAGTCTTATGCTTGACTAGATATGGACTCCATGCTGGTGCCGCATTCTCCAGGATTGGTCTGACATATGTGGTATATAATGTTCTGAAAGATTCCTTACACAAGTTTCTAAAGGCCGTTCTTATGTTAGCCAACCTGGCATATGCTGCTGCTGTTATCCTCTTGATGTGAGCATCAGGGGACAGGTCTGGCGTGATATCAACCCCCAGGTCTTTCTCTTTTTCGGACTCATGAAGTATTTCATTTCCCAAGTGATACCTTGTATCTGGTCTCCTGCTTCCTATCCCTATCTTCATTACATTACATTTGCTTGGATTAAACTCTAACAGCCATTTGTTCGACAATTCCTGCAGCTTGTCCAGGTCTTCTTGAAGCCTCAAGCTGTCCTCCTCTGTCTTAATCCTTCTCATAATTTTGGCGTCGTCAGCAAACATTGAGAGGAATGAGTCTATACCCTCTGGGAGATCATTTACGTATATCAGAAACAGGATAGGTCCAAGTACAGAGCCCTGTGGGACTCCACTGGTGACTTCACGCCAATCTGTCTCACCCCTCACTGTAACTCTCTGCTTCCTATTGTTTAGGTACTCCCTTATCCACTGGAGGGATAAGGGAGTCACACACACACACTGTGTGTGTGTGTGTGTGTGTATGTGTGTGAGGGGTTGGTGACCTAGATTCCGGTAATGAGGGGACCCTGCCATCACCTGACCCTCCCCCCTCCCCCCTTATTCTCCCCTCCTCTCTCTTTCCCTCCCCCTCTCACCCCCTTTATTTCCCTTCGACGTTCCACCCCCCCTTCCCCTTCTCCTTCTCTCCAGTTCTCTCACTACCTCCAGCTACAGGAGGTGATATCTTTCATGACGTGATATCTGTCATGAGGTGACACCTGTGAGCAGGTTATATTATGTGAGAACTGACCTCCTCACACACATGAGGCGCTGATGACCCTTCAAGACCCCAGAGGCAGCGGCCCGGACATACTAACAACAATATACTCATGATATACTCTTTCATTATGAACAGTAACAGTCAATATGTAACACTGAACCATGAAACACTTCCTCGCGTTGATGACGCGTGAGACGCATGACGCAGCTCCTGCGTCCTCCGTCCAACTCGTCCTCTTGCGTAATACTCCTCATTTTGACGTCAAAATATTAACCAACGGCTAAATAAAGACGCACTATTATTCACAGCGGCTCACAGACACTCACGTTTTCTATGCGTGGGGTCGATAGGTTAGGTTAGGTTTGATTAAGTTAGGGTTGTTAAGTTAGATTTGGTTAAGTTAGAGCGTTTTCGTACATTAATTTCTGACCGTTGAGGCACCTGATGAGGACGGGATGCTTCGTCAACTGACGCCTCTCCTCGTCAACTGACGCCTCTCCTTGTCAACTGACGTGTCTCCTCGTCAACTGACGCCTCTCCTCGTCAACTGACGTCTCTCCTCATCACCTGACGTTCCTCCTCATCAACTGACGTCCCTGCTCATCAACTGACGTCTCTCCTCATCAACTGACGTCCCTGCTCATCAACTGACGTCTCTCCTCATCAACTGACATTCCGCCTCATCAACTGACGTCTCTCCTCATCAACTGACATTCCTCCTCATCAACTGACGTCACTCCTCATCAACTGACGTCCCTCCTCATCAACTGACGTCCCTCCTCATCAACTGACGTCCCTCCTCATCAACTGACGTCCCTCCTCATCAACTGACGCCTCGCCTCATCAACTGACGTCCCTCCTCATCAACTGACGTCCCTCCTCATCAACTGACGTCCCTCCTCATCAACTGACGCCTCTCCTCATCAACTGACGTCCCTCCTCATCAACTGACGTCCCTCCTCATCAACTGACGTCCCTCCTCATCAACTAACATCACCCTTCAACAAACTGACATCACCCGCCGTCAACTGAGGTCTCTTCACCGCCAAAGAAGATGTCACGTTATACCAGAGGCAGAAGAAGAGGGGGGGGGAAGTCATGGGTGGGTGGACATGGGAGAAGGGCTGACATAGGGGAAGGGTGGACATGGAGGGGTGGACATGGGGGAGGGTGGACATGGGTGGGGGGGTGGACATGGGTGGGGGGGTGAACATAGAGGGTGGACATAGGTGGGGGGGGGGGGGTGGACATGGAGGGTGGACATAGTGGGGGCCCCGGGAAGGAGGAGAGGCCACACGTCACGTGACACTGGCAGCTCGTCTTTCCTTGGACAAATAATATTTTGCATCTAATTTACATAGTGTGTGAGGCGTCGCTGTTGACGGGCCGTGAGGGTGACCACTTTGGTCACCGGTGAGTTGGTGCTGAGGTCACCAGCACCAGGTCAGGGGTCGCCAGGACGGGGTAGTGGAGAGTCAGGGGTCACCAGAACGAGGTCAGGGGTCACCAGGACGGGGTAGTGGAGAGTCAGGGGTCACCAGAACGAGGTCAGGGGTCACCAAGACGAGGTCAGTGGAGAGTCAGAGGTCACCAGCACCAGGTCAGGGGTCACCAGGACGGGGTAGTGGAGAGTCAGGGGTCACCAGCACCAGGTCAGGGGTCACCAAGACGAGGTCAGTGGAGAGTCAGAGGTCACCAGCACCAGGTCAGGGGTCACCATTACTAAGTCAAAACCCCCCCTACATCTTTCCTCAATCCAATATTAAAATATATTAGCATATTGTGCATATATAGGCATTGGTTAGGTTAGGTGTTTAGGTTCTGTTGGCGATTATTTGTATTTGTAGTACGTGGGTGAAGCATTTACAGCGTCGTGGTTCGAACAGAGGACGTGAGCAAACCACTTGTTCCAAAAGTGTTCGGACGTCATCAGTTATGAGTCTTGTGTAAACCGCTTTTCATTCATAAACAGTGGGTTTGGCGGCTGGATTAACAAGCCTTTATCCTTTGTTGATGAGAACGGGCTGCTGGCATGAACATGACCAGAGGACGAGCTGCAGCTGTAAGGAAACGGGCTGGACGAAGCCCACCGGGCTTCGAGTGGGTTCACGAGCTGGTTCACTCAACACCCGAAACAAAGTCCCTCGCAGCCATTTTAGTTGGCGGGTCCGCGGGATTAAGACGTTACCCGAGGTTGTCTTGTGGCGGGTGAGACGGGAACATCTAAAGTGTAAGTGAAGATATTCATCAACGGCCGGATAAGAAACGGATCAAATACGTGTTTGGTCACGGTTACGTGTGAACTAGTTCTTGCAACGGTAAACAGTTAACCCGAGTTAACTGTTAGAGTGGGGAAGTTCTATAATTATTGGACGGTGGTGTTGCCCGGACCAGTCAGTGCTTTGCGGTCATCAGTAAGAACGGGCAAGGAACTAAGACAAGAAACCCGACCACTGCAGTCAGTGACTCAATACTGATGGGGGGAGGAAAATTTAGTGTTTCACCAGTCTAAGAGATATTGTTATATGCCTCCAGTTTGACCTCACCAGGCGGGGGGACCACAGTGTCCTCACCTCGCAGGACAAGGTAAGCAGTAATTCGAGACTCAAATGTAAACTAACTAGCTACCTCACTAATTACGGGCTCACCATAGCCCGTGCTACATGGACACTTCGTTCTGTGTAGCTAAATCTGAAACAACAACAACCTAACTAACTCTGTGTGTGTGTGTGTGTTGATATTATTTGGATTAAAATCTGATATATTATGTGGAGGTCGTAATGTATTTGCAATGTATTTTTATAGACATGTGAATAAATATCGTCATATCTTCGCAGGTAAGAAAGTTTAACAGCTCATCGTGGGACAAAAAATCTACCCATTAAAGGTACGTGCCTATTTCCTTGTGTTTTCATTGTTTTGGTTTTCTACAAATACAGTTTAGCGTTAACAACTGAGCAGTGCTGGACAAAAATATCTCGCCTTCACTAGTCAAAGGGAAAACCAAACCACTTATCTTGGGTCTTGGAGGCACTATAGTCACCTACCCTGGTCTTGGAGGCCCTATAGTCACCTACCCTGGTCTTGGAGGCACTATAGTCACCTACCCTGGTCTTGGAGGCCCTATAGTCACCTACCCTGGTCTTGGAGGCCCTATAGTCACCTACCCTGGTCTTGGAGGCACTATAGTCACCTACCCTGGTCTTGGAGGCCCTATAGTCACCTACCCTGGTCTTGGAGGCCCTATAGTCACCTACCCTGGTCTTGGAGGCCCTATAGTCACCTACCCTGGTCTTGGAGGCCCTATAGTCACCTACCCTGGTCTTGGAGGCCCTATAGTCACCTACCCTGGTCTTGGAGGCCCTATAGTCACCTACCCTGGTCTTGGAGGCACTATAGTCACCTACCCTGGTCTTGGAGGCCCTATAGTCACCTACCCTGGTCTTGGAGGCCCTATAGTCACCTACCCTGGTCTTGGAGGCCCTATAGTCACCTACCCTGGTCTTGGAGGCCCTATAGTCACCTACCCTGGTCTTGGAGGCACTATAGTCACCTACCCTGGTCTTGGAGGCCCTATAGTCACCTACCCTGGTCTTGGAGGCCCTATAGTCACCTACCCTGGTCTTGGAGGCCCTATAGTCACCTACCCTGGTCTTGGAGGCCCTATAGTCACCTACCCTGGTCTTGGAGGCACTATAGTCACCTACCCTGGTCTTGGAGGCCCTATAGTCACCTACCCTGGTCTTGGAGGCATTAAAGAGCCACCTACCCTGGTCTTGGAGGCACTAAAGAGTCACCTACCCTGGTCATGGAGGCACTAAAGAGCCACCTACCCGGGTCATGGAGGCACTATAGAGCCACCTACCCGGGTCATGGAGGCACTATAGAGCCACCTAACCTGACCTTGGATGCACTATAGAGCCACGTACCCTGGTCTTGGAGGCACTATAGAGCTACCTAACCTGACCTTGGAGACATTAAGGTCACGTACAATAGTCATGGGGGTTCAGTTGTCACTCGTTCTTATATATTTTTGGAGGTTGATTACTCACTTGGACAACGTGTACTTAAAAACACCAATAATAGTTTGATGTTTTAAGTAACGATAAGTATATTGTGCGTGGGTTGTCGTGATGTTTCAGTAACTTAGCGTTACCAAGTCTTAGTAACGAGCGCCTGAAGTCAAAACGACGCCATGTTGATGCACAGAAATTGCATACAATTTTTTTTTTTAACCTTGTAAGTTTGGCGTAAATCGTGATGTTTCGAAATGTTCTTTCATTTAATGTGACTCTTTACGTGGCGGAGCAAGTAACGAGGCAATAACGGTGATTATAATGGTTTATGTTCATGCGGTAAGTAGGAATATATAGATTTATGGTTATCTACACCAACCATTTTCTTTTTTTTTTTTACTGTGACGCACAGCGAGAACTGTGTTTTGTATTGCGACCCCGTGTGTGTGTGTGTGTGTGTCGTGTGTCGTGTGTCGTGTGTGTGTGTGTCGTGTGTGTGTCTGTGTGTGTGTGTCTGTGTGTGTCGTGTGTGTGTCGTGTGTGTGTCGTGTGTGTGTGTGTGTGTGTGTGTGTGTGTGTCGTGTGTCGTGTGTGTGTCGTGTGTGTGTCGTGTGTGTGTCGTGTGTGTGTGTGTGTGTGTGTCGTGTGTGTGTCGTGTGTGTGTGTGTGTGTGTGTGTCGTGTGTCGTGTGTGTGTGTGTCGTGTGTGTGTGTGTGTGTGTGTGTGTGTGTGTGTGTGTCGTGTGTCGTGTGTGTGTCGTGTGTGTGTCGTGTGTGTGTGTGTGTGTGTGTCGTGTGTGTGTCGTGTGTGTGTGTGTGTGTCGTGTGTGTGTCTGTGTGTGTGTGTCTGTGTCTGTGTGTGTGTCTGTGTGTGTCGTGTGTGTGTGTGTGTGTGTGTGTGTCTGTGTGTGTCGTGTGTGTGTGTGTGTGTGTGTGTGTCGTGTGTGTGTCTGTGTGTGTGTGTGTGTGTCGTGTGTGTGTGTCTGTGTGTGTGTCGTGTGTGTCGTGTGTGTCTGTGTGTGTGTGTGTCGTGTGTCGTGTGTGTCGTGTGTGTCGTGTGTGTCGTGTGTGTCGTGTGTGTCGTGTGTGTCGTGTGTGTCGTGTGTGTCGTGTGTGTCGTGTGTGTGTGTGTGTGTGTGTGTGTGTGTGTCTGTCTGTCTGTCTGTCTGTCTGTCTCTGTGTGTGTGTGTGTGTGTGTGTGTGTGTGTGTGTGTGTGTGTGTGTGTGTCTGTGTCTGTGTGTGTGTGTGTGTGTGTGTGTGTCTGTGTGTGTGTGTGTCGTGTGTCTGTCTGTGTGTGTGTCGTGTGTCTGTGTGTGTGTGTGTGTGTGTGTGTGTGTGTGTGTGTGTGTGTGTGTGTGTCTGTCTGTAACACATCGAACACAGACTGCGAGTTATATTCATTTGTTTACTGTTAACACGTGATAAATGCATAATTATTGATGGATTTACACATTTCTCCTTTTTAGGAGGAATATAGAAAAATACAAAAAGATTTTGCACGAAATTAAATCCCCACAAAAAAAACAGTAAACAATACTTACATATAGTTTTCATTTAATGAGAAGGATGTGCTTGTTTGTTCATAAGTAGTTAATGACAATTTGGAACATAGGAAGACAATGCTATACACATCTTGTGCAGTGTTCAGCTTCTCTCGTTCGTTTTTGAGTTAATGAGGACAATTGTGGTTGACGTAAACAGGTTGTAGTAAATGGTAACAGAATCAAGACCGCAGTTTTACTTATAAGTTAAAATTCTCCTTTTAACCTTTATTCAAAATGATGACAAATTGAATTGCTCAAAATCTTCATTCAGTGTTGACCAGACCACACACTAGAAGGTGAAGGGACGACGACGTTTCGCTCCGTCCTGGACCATTCTCAAGTCTTCATTCAGTGTAAATGAACTGTTGAGATTCAGCAATTCAGCCTTCGCTTCAGGATCAAAGCTTAACTATTGGTTCAGGCCGTTGAAAATCGAATGGATTTCGTATCCAAAAGCTTATCTTTACTGTTCCAAGTTTCTGCACTGGAAAATAGTTAATAAAGCTTTGAGACAGAGAAGCGAGAATGTGGAAATATCTCTAGTTTTAAATCCTTTAAAAATGTCTTCATTGACAGTGTTCTCAGTGTTGTGGCCGTGGTGGAAACACAACAGATGGGTTGATCACTTTTAATTCTTGCTTGCCATAGCCTTAGCATCTAAAACCCTTCAGTATATTCAATGTTCTGGAATATATTACCACATTTTCCTTGAAGTTTTAAGTTGACCTTCTTAATAAAAACACCAGTTTAGTAAGTTATCTTGAGATGATTTCGGGGCTTAGTGTCCCCGCGGCCCGGTCCTCGACCAGGCCTCCTTTTTGTTACACACCCCCAGGAAGCAGGCCGGAGCAGCTGACTAACTCCCAGGTACCTATTTACTGCTAGGTGACCAGGGCATCAGGATGAACGAAACATTTTGTCCATTTGTCTCGGCCTCCACCCGGACAAAGGGTGGAGACAAATGGGCAAATTTTTTATTTTATCAGCAACATGTGTGTGTAATGCATTCACTCTACCAGCTGATGGATTTTTATTGCCAAAAACCAACCTATTTATAGGAAAAAGAGGGAAAAACTAGCGTGGATTTGCAGGCAGCTGTAGAACACTGTTCAAGTATGTTTATTCTGACAAGAAAAAAATACATCTCAAAGGGATAGAGTAGCTTAGGCTATTTCTCTCCCCCCCCCCCCCCGCCCGCCCCACTGAGCTGTTGGCGTTGAGTAGTTAGCGCTTTGGTCACCAGGCGGCACTAATCGCCTGCTGACAAGCGTATCATCAGTCTCATCAATTGCAATGATGAGTAATGAGTGCGAATTAGGTTGTCGCTCTCACTTGCTAATTTTTGTTGATTTTTTGTTTTTTTTCTGTGTCGCGACCCAATTGATTTAATTTGGGAGCCACTAATAGGTCGAGACCAGCAGTGTGAACACACCAGGACCCGGATTCACGAAGCAGTTACGCAAGTACTTACGAACCTGTACATCTTTCCTCAATCTTTGACGGCTTTGGTTACATTTATTAAATATTTTACAAACATGAAAACTTGCCAATCAGCTGTTGTTATTGTTATAAACAGCCTCCTGGTGCTTCGGAGCTCATTTAACTCTTTAATAATTGTAAACAAAGCCGCCAAAGCTTGAGAAAAGATGTTCATAAGTGCTTGCGTAACTGCTTCGTGAATCTGGCCCTCTGGTCAGGTTGACGGACAGTGTTGCCATCTTCCCTTCTCAGGTAAAAATTGCAAGTCACTCAACAGAGCCAGACGCCCGCCAAACACACGACGAAACTACGACGTTGCTACAACGTTCGAACAAGGTTTAACATCTAACAAGTCGTCAGCCCGTCCTCCAAACAAAGACCCAAAAGTGATTCCATGCACCCGCCAAACCCCCTGTTTATGCATGAAAAGCGGTTTACACACGACTCTCAACTGCTGACATTCAAACACTTCCGGAACAAGTGCTTCACTGACGAATTTTGTTCGAACCACAACGCTGTAAATGCTTCACCCACGTACTACAAATACAAATAATCGCCAACAGAACCTAAACTCCTAACCTATGCTTATATATGCATAATATGCTAATATAATACTAATTTATATTTGAGCAAATTTCCGTTTCGAATGAACATGCTAAAATTTATGAATGCGTCTGTGGGGTCGACCGCTGGGTGGAATGGACTTGAGTCGAGTACGGGTTGAACAAGTTGTATCAACCAATATAGCAAGTTGTAAGAACGTTCTAACACGTCATAAAAAGGTTTTAAAATGTAACAACTTTATTACAAGTTGTAACAAGCGGAAAATAGACAGTTTGGTTGTGTTTGCAGGGCGGAGAGGAGTTAATAGAGACAACTATCTGTAAACCAATATTTAGGCTCGTTAGTGTTAATAGAGCCTATAGAGTATAGATGTATAGAGCCTATTCAATAGTAATGTAATATTAAGGTAATTCTATTCTATTCACACTACTAGGTTAAGGGAATTGATGACTGGCCAAGATTAAGCCGCCCTTAAGGTGGCACGGGCATGAATAACCCGAAGGTTAATGGAAGTATATATATGATAAATATATAGCATGAGTCGTCAGGTTATGTATCACTGATGACGTCAGACGGTGTTGAAAACATTAATTAGAACCAGATAGTTAGGCTTATATCCCGGTTATTATTTATAATGGTAAAGTTGCAACCGAGCTGCGATAGCCTCCTAATTACACGTGTAATTCTCAAGTACTTAACAGAGGGAAAATATGGTCATTACGTTATTAAACTGACTAAAAAGTAAAATTTAACAATACTGTAAATAACTTATTAGTACCAGACACTAGAAGTTGAAGGGACGACGACCATTCTCAAGTCACAATCGACTTGAGAATGGTCCAGGACGGACCGAAACGTCGTCGTCCCTTCACCTTCTAGTGTGTGGTCTGGTCAACATACTTCAGCCACGTTATTGTGACTCATCGCCTGCTTATTAGTACCAGTTTATATACAAGAAGAGATTAGACTATTATACATTACTATTATTCTCTTTCTTACATTACAAAGGTGTCTCATTCCTTCAGCATACTATTCTAATATTATTGCTCAAACAAACAAACTATATGGCACACTTCAGCAGGATAATTATAGAATGAAATCCTGCGGAATAATGTCATTCAAATATGCAGATCAAAATGACTGTTGGCTTTTGTAATATCCAAACCAGGGCAGAATTATGATGGCCAATTAGAGCTGCAACACAAACCCGGTATTGTG